GAATAACAAGTGGTTCAGAATGGAGCTTAGATTTAAGATTGGATGCTTTAGTGAGAATGTGGGCAATTTTAGCAGATGTTAGTGTTTACATCCTTGTTGACCTGAGATTTTCAGTACTACATAACAGTTCAGGAATTAATCAAGAAATCAGAAATGGGGAAATTAGGGGAATGGCCTTAGAGCTAGCTCAGCACTTTTCAGATTGGGGATAGAATCTGTGTCCCTGGATGTATGTGGGCACTCTTGGCTCCTGGATAAGAAGTGGATTACAAGCTCTGGTCATAATCAAACATACAATCTCTGATCATAATCTTTTTTTTCTTTTTTCAGTATTTATTACTGGTTTTTATTTATTGGTATTTTATTTTAGTTTCAGATGTAGGATGTCTATCACAGCCATTGTTCTGTCAAATGTTCCAGCAAATGGCCATACAGAAAAAGAGAGAAAACGGGACACAAAGATTTAAACAACAACTAAAGGAAATTTGACAGTTGATGCAACCCAAACTAAACATGTGGTAATGACACCTCAAGCAACAATAAAGACCCAGAATGATCACAGGCTTAAATATTAATGGTCTCTCCTTCAGTTTAATGTGAAAGCTGAGCACAGGAGGAACTGATACTCAAAGGGACTCTGAGAACCAAAACCACACTTTGCTGTGTATTAACCACACTTTGCTATCCTTCTATCTTCATTAGCATCTTTTTGTTTTCCAGGATTATGTTTCCCAGGCAAATGGTTTGATTGTTCATTACAAGAACTGCTCCAGGTTACAAGGTTAATATTTGAAATTGAATGGTTTTCCTATACACCAAAGTGAACAAGTAGAATTTGAAATTAAAAACACAATACTATTTAATTAGCATCCCCCAAATGAATGTGAAGTGATCTAAAATAACTGAATGAAAAATAAAAAAGAACAAATTAAATGGAGAAACATTTCCTATTCATGGACAGGAAGGGTCAATATTTTCAAGATACCAGTTCTTTCCAATTGTATCTATAGGTTCAATGCAATCCCAGCCTAAATCCAACAAATTATTTTGGGAATATAGACAAATTGATTCTACAGTTTTATGTAGGTAGCAAAAGACCCAGAATAGCCAACATAATATTGAAGAACAGTGTGAGAGGACTTAACAATACCTGATAAAGTTAAAGATAAACTAAAGATAACTATAAAGTTATAGTAACTCAGGTATTATGGTATTGATCAAAGAAAAGACAAACAGATCAATGCCACACACATTTGGCATCTTATTGATCACATGAAAAAGCTACAAGGGTTAAATTATAGATTATTGGGTCAAGTCCAATATATTTCTATCTGATAGTAACAAAAATAATAAAGGTTAGTTAGGGACCATTCTCAGTTCCTTTGAGTCTTTGGACAGCTCTCTTCCCATTCGTTGTCTGTCAGAGATAAATTACACATTTGAAGAAGGCAGATCACCCAGGGTTTCCTTCAAGGCCCAGAGGCTCTGAGAAGGTGGGGAATTACTATAGTCATTTTTAGAGAAACAGAAATTTGGAAAGATCTTGTTGATAAATGTAAGGGACAGATGAATTGGGAAAATGCATTCAGACTAGGCATAGCCAAGGGAAAAACCAAACAAATTTAAGCAGAGCAAGGGGAGAGGATGCACTAGTCATCAACTCCTACTGGTTAAGAGCCTGGTGAAGATGCATTCATATGTTATTGCTATATATTTCAGTAAGTGTTATACATGCAATGCACTTCCAATAATCCTACATTATCCTTAGCTCAACTGTGGTATAAAATGAGTTATTTTGAGAAAGAACAAGGGAACATAATCACATAATTTTTATTATAGTACATTATTATGATTGTACTATAACTAGTTATTATTGTTGAGCTCTTACGGTGCCTAACTTATAGACTAAAGGTTATCATATGCATGTATGTTTAGGAAAAGATATATATAGGTTTTGGTACCACCAGCAGTTCCAGGTATCCACTGAGGGTCTTGGCACATCACCCCTGCAGGTAAGGCAGACTACCGTAATTTATGTAGGGTGGCTGTATCTCTAGCAGTGTTACCTGAATAGAGAAATATATGGAGGAAGTTTTTTTTTTTTTTTAAAGGAAAACCATTCTCCTGGAACATTTATGTTAATTCTTTCTGTAAGATTTTCCTTTTTAAAAAAGGATTTATTTCATTTATTTATGCATACAAGAGCTGGGCCAGTAGGCCAAAGGTGGGGGGTGTTGGAGGTAAGAGGATTCACCAGAGACAGAGTGGGGAGCAGAACAGATCAGGCAGATCACCTGAAATGCGTTTCTGAGGGGAGCAGCTGGCAAGATAGGAGAGGTCTGCTGTGCCATGTGGGTCAGCTCCTTGGCCGGGGATCAAAATCAGTTGCTGCAGATTGCTTCATAGTCTGGACACTTAAGCCCTTGTGCCACCAGGGAGGGCCTTGTAATAATTTCCTAAATGTAAATAACACTAAATATAAATTCTGTCTCTCACATAAATTGAACACCAAAGTAAATTTATAACTTGTGCAAAAATAATAATGGTAATTTAATGTGGTATAGATGTTGGTTGAGACAAAACTGTTTCTTGAAACATGAATGTGCTATTGACCGGCCAGCATGAGTTCTTGGCCTTCAACATGTTGGTAAATGTATCTGGTGGGGGACTCTGCTTTCCCATCACTTTCCTCTTTCAAGCTACCCCCAAACCTTTATTTGTACAGCAAGCTATGAAGTAGGAGGATCATCTCATTGGTTTTCTCACTAGCTCATGGCAAAAAAAAAAAAAAAAGTAATAGTACCTTGTACCAACTTGATTGTAAAAACAGACACTTAAATATATGTCCTAATTACATGACAGCTGTTAGTTATCATGCGGTTATCAGCTACTCCAAAATATGCTTAAGAGTAATGCATACTTGTAGAAAACTAGCAGTCTCTGTCAATAGACACCAGTTTGGAAAACTGTCCTATTATAGTATGTGTAAAAATACGTATATGTTTAGATTATTTTGTTAGCTTCTTATTAATGGTTTCTGGCGATGTTACTGGAGTCCCACCTTATTATGCAGCATTTGATTCTACCTTCAACTGGACAATTGAATTTCCTGTTTTGTGGGTACTAAACCACAGCTATTGAACCTCACTGGCCCCAGACCCCTGGGGATTGGTGCATGGGGACTACAGCTCAGATCTCATCATCACCCTTACCTCCACAGTTTTTAAATTGTTAGCCCCATTTGACATTAATGAACGACTGGTTTTGAAAGCCACCATCACAGTGCTTTATACTTTCTTACAAGCTAAATAAGACAGACATATTCAACAGGCCATCAGATAACTGAAGCAAGACAATACATGAATTCAAGAACAGTTAAGGAGTTTTTTCTTTCTTTTTTAAAGATTTATTTAGTCATACAGAACTGGGGTACAGGCCAGAGTTGTGGGGGTGGGAGGATTCACCAGACACAGAACGGGGAGCAAACCTGGCAGATTGACAAAGTATGCGGGTGAGGGGAGCAGCAGCCGGGGTCAGGAGAGATCTGCCAGGCCATGTGGGACAGTCCCCTGGCCTGGGATCGAACTGGTGCTGAAGCAGCTGTGGCTACCATTGCATGCTGCTCTTTAACCCTCTGAGCCACCAGGGAGGGCCCAGGAGTTGTTTTCTTATGCACTGGTACGGTGTGGCACAGAGTTTGCGACTGTTTAGTGGTGCTCCTTTGGCTAACTCCCCACACCTCCCACCACTTTCCTCCTTCCTTTACTCCCACATTTTCTCCTTTTGCTGTCTTCCACCTACTCTTTGGTTCTATGCTTCCCTTAAGGTTCAATGTAATGAGTTTTTCCATAAATCTAAATGCATTATTTTTGTTGAGTGTGTCCTTTCCTTTTTTTATGAGATGTGCTTCCTTTTATGAAACAGTTGTAGGTAGTTTTAAAAATTGCCTGTATTTGGCAAACCTAATTTGCAATCTTGAATTTTCCTCTGAATATTTTTAAAAGTAGCAGGCACCTATAATGTGGAAGCATTTGTCTAGAATACAAAGAGAAGCTATAGGAAGAAGGGGGCAGTATGTGACACCGAGTGAATTGATGTTAAGTTATACAAGTGAAATTCCCTAATATATTTTCTACAGGAGCACAGGCAGGAAGCCCTACATTTTGTTGGGGAGTTAGGGAAGGCTTCACAGTGGCAATGATGTTTAAGCCTGGGCTTTAGGACAAGCATGGGAAAAGGGCACGGAGTTCCAAAGCAGAACGAAAGGCTGGCGAGAACACAGAACACCAAAGAGCACTACGTGTCCAGCAGCTCGAGTGCCCTGGGGGCTGAAGTGTAGATTTCAGGGTTGAATGATCAAGGCTGAGGCCAGAACTATTTTTGGCTCATTTCTCCTACAATATATTGCACTGAGCCAGGCGTACACTCCGCAGATCGCTGACGACTTGGTCAACAGTGCCGGGTGAGCCAGGGTACTGGGAACCGGGACGTCTGGATTCTTTCTCACCCGCAGCGTGTCTCCTTGGCTAAGTCCCTTTTCTCAGGGCGGTGGCGGGCGTTGAGTCATCAGCCGCGAGAGAGAAAGCTGAAGAGGAGGTTGGTCCCCAGAGCCAGGCCTTGCCAGCACCTCAACCCGGGATTCGCCCCGGCGAGGGCGGGCGGGGCTGCGGCGGGCGGAGGCTCTCAGTTCCTCCTCCGC